CTGACTGCACGCATGCTGCTGCTGCTGCTGCTGCTGGACACTAAACACAGTCGAGCCGCTCTTGACAGTCGCAGTAGCACGGTCTCGTGTTGTTTCCACCAGCACGGCAATTTTTTTTCATCACTAATTGATGGATGTCTAAAATATAAAAATAAGGAGAAGCCTAAAACAGGCCAGAGGCCCGGGCCGCGTCTGAACTATGACGTGACAATTGGCCCAAAGCCCAGCCCTAGGGCGTAAAAAAAAGTCGGGGCCCATCTGGCCCGGACTGAAATGCAGGGCTCTAGTTCCTGGTTCTGTTGACACGTTGACTCACGTGAGCTGCCTGCTGGTGCGTGCGCAAATAACACCCGTCTAAAATTTTTCGCCTCAAACGCGGGATGAATTAATTACGATGCTTCCTGCTGGGAAAAACGTTTTCATGTCTGGAAATTTCACAGTTATTTTGTTTTCAAAGAGGATAAAGGAATTAACATAGTTGTACAGAACTAGCGGAAAATTAGCCTGAAAATGTAGAAATTAACATGAGAGTCCCCACACCCCGGATCAGTCAATGAAATAAAGAAAGATAGCATTTCACATGCATTTTGACATGTAGGCTTATTTTAAAACAGACTAATATGTATATGGTGTAAATGTTTAAATGTTGTGTATAAACTATATTTATTTTTACTTGTACATGTTAAAGAAATAAAAAAATTATAAAAATAAAACTGTATAGCCACTAGATGTCTGCATAGCCTTTTATGTAAATATATGGGCTGTAATATCTAGATGGTGAAACAAGACACGATTTTTAATTGTTTCAAATAGTTTTTACTATAGTTTTTATTAGTTTTAATTTTAAAGTCATAGCTAAATAAAAGTACTTAAGATATTGCTTTTTTGACTTACATATGTAACTTGAAGTAATCCAAAAGTAATCAGATTACATTACATTTATATTGTGGTACTTGGATTACGTTACTGAATACTCTTTTAATGAAGTAATTTATTACTGTAACGGAATACATTTTAAAAGTAACCCTCCCAACCCTGTCCATTACAGTGTACAAAACTATTCCACAAAGCCGTGTAATAAGCCTTATTAAACTCATACAAAAAGTAATCACTGGAAATGAAAAATAATAATAATAATTAACCTTCTCCCCTTTGTCTCCTCTGTCCCCCTTTTCTCCTTGAAGCCCTGGGAAACCCTATCACAGGAGAGCCATGTTCAGTAAGAAATGACTTTATATACTTACATAACTAACAGCATAATGATTACTTACATCTAAACCTGGTTCACCTGGTTTTCCCTTGAAAACAAAACACAATGGCAAAAGAAACAACGGTAACAGGTTATTTGTAGTCATTTTAGGCCTTATTAACTTGTCTTTTTAAGGTACAAAACACTGACCTTTTCACCTTTTGCACCTGGCAGGCCTATCAAGCCATTAGACCCCGGAAAGCCTTGAAGACCCTAAGCACAACAAACAGAATTGTATCAAACTAGCCTTTTCATATCTCTACAAGTCTTAAAATGGTTTCTGCATATTGGTTTTTGCAGCAAATCTTACCCGCTGCCCAGGTGGACCTCTCTCTCCAGCGTCGCCCTTTTCTCCTTGAACTGACTCACCAGGCTCTCCCTGTGTTACATTTAAATTTATGTTAGATTTATGTTAAATATTTCATTTCCCATGAACATGAAATTTCAACAATGCTTCAGAGTCTCACCTTGGGTCCAGGCAATCCATATCCCTGAAAGAAATTAAATGGAAAAAAAGTTTAGTATGCTTAGCTTTCCTTAACAATAAGCTTCTGAACTTCTTTTTTATCTCATCAAAAATCAAGTTAGGAAGTATTAAACTGTATTCCGTACGGCAGGCCCAGGGGGTCCTGGTGGCCCTGGTGGGCCAGGCATAGAAATAATCTGGGCCTACAAGAGAGTTATCAAGATTAATCCAATTAAGTTACATCTGGATTACATAGGATTTTCATATAAGTGTGTTTTAAACTCACCAGATTGTCCTCAAGCCTACAGTCTCCTTTATCTCCCTTTTGCCCTGCTTCCCCCTAAAATGCCACAACAAATAAACATATATCATGATCTTACAAGGTTGCAGTAAACATGACATGTTGATTGTTGGTAATGCTCACTGAAGGCCCTGATAGCACAATGTCCCCCTTTTCCCCTTTTGCTCCTGCTGCTCCAGGCTCTCCTGCATCACCTCTCTCTCCCTTATGGCCCTGGATGAGGCATCAAGCTATTCATTACAGTGCACTTGTATAACTATGTATAATCAGACTGTGTATGAACAAACCTGCTTTCCTTCAGGTCCTGGTGCTCCAGGTAAGCCCATTTCTCCCTGTTACAAAGACATATTTGAGATATATCTGAATGTTATAGTGGTAAATGGTAAATGCTGTATAACAATGTAGTTCAATGTAAACTTATAACTCACTTTTGGCCCTTGCTCTCCTGGAGGGCCTGGAGGCCCCTATTGGTACAAAGAATATATCAATACAAAAAGTAATTAATGGAGATAACAGAAGGGTCTTTACACAATTACCAATTACCAATTTTCTAACTGAAATGTACCTGTAGAGTTTTTAGTCTAACAGCCAGATCAGCATTTTCTATGAAGCCAGTAGCTCCTTTCTCTCCAGGCAAACCCTGCGAGAGAGACAGATGGAAATGACTGTCAAGCATCTATTATGATCAAAAATAAATATGTAATGAATGAAAGACTTTGTTAAACATTCACCTGGGGTCCTGGATCTCCAACATCTCCCTTTTCACCCTAAGGAATCAGGATCATTGTATTGTTTTAGTATGTGCCCTTACTCAGTAAACTGACCTGAATGCAACTACAACTCTTAAACACTATAACTCCATCTTCTCATTATAATTACCAGCTTCTCAACAGACAGCTTACCTTCATGCCAGGGGATCCATCAGTCCCTCTCTTCCCCTCAGTACCTGGAGCACCCTTATCCCCCTATATGCCAGACAACTGTATAAAAATTAAGGTTGTCTTTGTGTGTATGAAAACAGAAAAAGGGGGTGAAAATCTAACCTTTTGCCCTACAGGGCCCTGTGGGCCAGGTATGCCATTGACACCATTCATACCCTAAATGAGAAAAAAATGGATATTAATTTTGTAGGCAAATATTGTGCAATGAAAAATAAATAGTAGTTAATATTACATGTACATATATACAGTATTTGGAAAATTATGAACTCTTAAATCCGCACTGACATCAAAATTGACACTATATACTTTGTTAGCACACATTGCTAGTCTTGAGGTTAACAATTAATCTGTCAAGTAAATCCACAGGGGAAAATTTTTTGTTTTGGCAGTAGCATGTGCAATTGCGCGGGGACCAGGAACGCAATTTCTACCAAGGGGGCCCCACAGGCACCACTTGCTTGTGGCCTCCAAAACTCTAAACACACCCCTGTGTCTTGTTAATCTTTAATCAAAATCTGACATATCTATCATTTTAGTATTTGAAAGAAACTTACTATTTTGTGGTTTGCTTTAAGCATTTAATTGTACATTACAAATACCACTTGATTTGATATTTTGTTGTTTTTATTATTTTGATATTAATGCAACATTCGTGCATTTTTAATTTTGGCTGAAGTGTCCAAATTCTTAAGGGACCACTGTATGATTCACATAGGTTCGTAGGCACACGCATGTATATTACCTGCATGCCAGGTGGCCCTCTTTGACCCTGTAGGGAAAATGCACATTACATAAGCCAGTATGTAATTAGGATATTAAATAAGTCACTCTCATTTAAGCAGCATTACTTTAAATTCCATAAAGTTGTAGATCAATAATAATATGAGTTCATATAAAAAGTTTAAAAAAAAAAAAGTATAAAATTCTACCTCATTTCCATCTTTTCCAGGAGGACCCTGTTATTTAGAGAGCAAACATAAGATATGGGTTATATTTAAAGGAACAGGTTGTTGACCGTCCACTAAATGCTAGACCTTTTTAGATCTATGATGTATAGTATACTTAATACTACTTAAATCTAATCTTTTATTTTTAATCAAATCCAGTGAAAATGATCCAAATGTGTCTAAATTATTTGATCCAGATGGCAGCTCTGAAGTGACACGGGTTCTCTAAACACAGATGAGGTTATTCAGCTAATGGGAGTATAACTTTAGAATACACCAAAACAACCTCACAATGGCCTTTTAAACATCTATTTCAGAATGTTCTGGCAGACGTCCTGTAAGCTTCCAAGGATGTATTCAAGCCATCTACGGATTCGACATTGAAGAAATATTGCATAACACTTGACTAAAATCAAACTAATTTGTACATCTTTGTGTAGTCCTGCAGACACTCAACAGAAACATCTACTGTCCTGATGTGTGCCGCAGTCTCGTGTCTGTTTGTCATGTTCCACAGCACTTCTGAGAAGGACAAAGGCACGGCATCAGGCTTAATAAGGTGGTTTCACTTAGGCATATATAAACACAATTTGGGATACAATAACAGGATATGGCCTTTGAGCTTCTTGACCCCAGAACATCTGCTCCCAATATGAGGGAGAGAGCAGGGTGAGATTTTTTGCCCTTCATCATTGCGCCATTCTTTGTTTGGTTTAGATGGTAGTTTGAAAAGGAAATAAAGTGCAGAACATATGTTGGGATAAACTGGCTAAGGAAAACATTGGGAATTTACTACAAATGCATAAGCCATCATAGTTACATACTCTGGAGCTGCAAGTTCATTCACTAAGTATCCCACCTCAGACTGTTATATAATGCATTACTGTGAACAGCATATTGAGGCTTCTTATGATTTTTGAGGTGATGGAAGATGAAACAACTATAAATCTATATTGTTAAAGCAAGCCTATTCAAAGTTGAGGATTTTAAGGAGGCCTTGACTGGGTAATATTAAAAAAAACTTGGGGGTGAGCTCTTTGTACTTGGGTTAAGGCTGTGACACACCAAGCTGACAGCAAAGAATGAGATGGCCATGCCATTATGAAAACATTTCAGTGCTGGAATGCTCAGATAAGATGATGTAAAATTAGAAGAGCCTTGTGTGTGTCTTTGTTGTTTGCTTGTTTTCGTCACTTTAGGTTGTTGGGTTTCTTTTAGGTTTGCTAAGCTGCACAGCCAATCAGAGTGGTTGGTCTCACCAATTCATCATGCTCAAACAGCTGAAGAGATGCTGATGGTGGTCCTCCTAGTGCCAGCAGTGCAGAACACATGCAAAAATGGGGTCAGCAACAGCTGACCGTTGACTTGGTGTTTCACAGGCTTTTCACCCTAGAAATCACCAAGAACACAACAGCAACCACAAAGAAATGCACTAAAACCCTACTCCATACACTTGTAATGTATTCTACAGCTACCTGTCTTAAACAGTCTATGGGTTTTTAAAACCAAGTCACTGTGATATGGGAGCATCTGCCAAGAACGCAAATGTAGAAGCAAATGCAGTATGTCTGAACCCAACACTGAGCTGAACACAGGGTTCAGCTCAGTGAGAAGCTGCACCTGGTCTTCTGAGCAGGGTCTTCAGCACAGTGTGACTCATATATGAGTCACAACAGCTGTAGAATGAGTGAGCTCAGTACAGACACAGGCACATGAGACCATGCGAGATTGTGAGAAGAGAAGAGAGTGTCTCACTGGTTTTCCTGGGTGGCCCTGCGGCCCATCTCTGCCTGTGTTTCCTGGAGGCCCTCTGGGACCAGGTGTTCCTGGAGGTCCTGGGGGCCCAGCCTGACCTTGATCACCCTAAAGACAGAGAGAGAACAAGTATTTGATATACTTACCATGTTTCATATTCATTCCGTATCATTTAAATTTAAGCACTGAAACTGTAAGTTTGGTTGTGGCAAATGCTAAAATACTTCTGGGGCCAAAGCTTCAAGGAGCAGCTATCTATGAAGAAATGTCTGTTCCAAAAATGATTCTCAATAAACATACTAAGATAAAAAGTTTTTTTTGCTTGATTATTTGCTGTGGTCTTTCAAACATGTTTTCGTCTCTTTTGTCATTAAACACAACAATTATCCTCTCTTTGAAATTCAAAACAGGCATGCAACACAACATTGTAAACTGCCAGATGAGCTAATTGAGGCCAAGGACACACAAGAAATGGAGAAAATGAGAGAAGCAGCAAGGCATGCACAAGTCCAGCTCTACCTTTAGAAGGCGCCTGTGAAAAGTGTGGTGGTCAGCTGTAGCAGAGAGAAAGCCATGCTCATAGCGAGGGAAGACCATCTGACAGCAGAGGAAAGATAATGAGAAAGATGGACAGAGTGAATAAGAAAGAAAGCAGGGATGCCAGTAATCACAGCTGGAGAAACAGATATTCAGCCTGCACCATCTTCCCTCAGCTTAAAGGGTTGTGGGAACAAAGAAGTGGAAAAAACTAAGTGAAATAAAGTAAGGTATGAAGGCACAGATGTTTGTGAACATGGACAAGGGATGATAGGCTGGGAAGGACAAACCTTAACCGTGAGAATCTGATTACTGAGCAGGCCTGCAGAAGCAGCGTAGGCCGGTGGTCCCTGGGAGGTCAAAGGTCATATAGAAGAAAACGGAGGCAGGAAATTACATAAGAGAGAAAGAGGAGATGATTCGGAGAATGACACTGTTACAATACATATAATGGAGGGTGATGACATCTTATATTGTACTTCTGTGCAGAACTGAGCTTCAACTTGAAATTGAATCCTGTGAGAGTTATTCTGGCTATTCTTCTGTTTTAAGAAACCAAGCCCAAACACACCCTCTTGATATGATGAACTTTCAATGGGCGCACATGACGATGAGGTTTATGTTTAGAGTTGTGGTTAGATAGGTCTGCAACGGATTCACAAAGAAAGGCTACTTCTTCCCAGGAGAAACTTTTTCATGATTTTACTTTCTCACATATTGTCAAGGGCCTTTTTTTGTGTTTGTGCACAAAAACTTACTCTGCAGGAACTGTACTGAAATGCCGTAGTGAACAACAGCAGCATGCCTAAACTACATTTCTACCTCGTCAGCAGAAATCGGGTGCTTGCCCATGCACAGCTTGCCACCATGATGCTAACTTGATCTTCATGATTCCCAAGATATTGCCATGCCGTTTTTAGTTTGTTGCTCTGGTGTTCTGGGTGGTTGCTAGATGGCTTTTAGGGGAATTCTGGGCGTTAAGTATCCACAATGTCATCTCTATGAACTATCTATCTCTAAGGCCTATAAACCTTCAAACTTCAAGACTTTTTGAAAAAAAAATTAGCCAAAAATTTAAACAAGGCTTTGTCAAGTCAACATGCAAAGTTCCTCTGGACAAACTTTGCTTTTCTAATTTAAAGATATGTGAATTTCTTTGAATTTCAATTCATTGTAATTTTATTACATCACATTAAAATCTGAATTGCAATTCTGCATCCTGTTTGCTACATAAATTCAAATTCAGGAACCAAACTGGAATTTAAACGGCATTCTCAATTCAGTTCTGTATAGCACACAACCCTGCATACAACTTTGCAGAACATTCTTCTCGGCTGCCTCAGATGCCACAAAGACTACTTTGTGAGTCTGATCTGCTTCTTCTGTGTCTGGGCAAAGGGCAAAAGTCACAAGTCAGGAGTAAGCGTAAGGTCAAATATCCACCTGCACTACAAACCCAAGTCTCGCCATCTGGAAGGAAACATGGCTTTAATCGACTTCCAGGTCAAGGGGTCCTTGTCCCATGAGAGCTTTAATGGATTCCAAGGGGTCATACTCCTGCTAATTGCAGTTGAAAAAGCGCTAATTTGGCTCTTACATCCACACAAAAAGAGGAACACAGCCCATGGGAGAGGCTGTTTTCCTTTTCCTGACTGCTCATGTCACCACTCTCAATGATTTGGTTCATTTTTCTAGTCAGACTGATGCCGTAAAGTAAAAACAGTGTAGCGCATACAACACATGTTCTTAACATTAGGAAAGAGAGCAGCCAAAGCACGTGTTTCTAATTGTGCTGAATGGTCATGAGGTATGGTGGAAAAGAAGCATAGGGAGCCAAATGATTTAAATGATAATTCAAGTAGATATAGATAGAAAAGTGGTGCGATCTTCACTGGCAAATTCCTGATTTGTCAAGGCTCACAGTTTTTCCCCATGGATGAGAAGAAAACAGGCTTGGTGGAGGCAGGGGTACAGTGATGGATACCACATTGAGGTTGTAATTTGAATTAGTTTTAACAGATTTTACTTCTATCAACACCGTAATGTAAAACTGCTAGCAGCCAAGCCCTGCCATCTGGAAGGAAATGGCTTTAATTGACTTCCAGGTCAAGCGGCATCCTCAGATCAGGGCAAAAAGACTTCTGAGACTGAGTATGATATTAGATGTTTGTGACACTCACCCTGGGACCCATGTCTCCCTGCTCACCCTGTGGAGAAAGCAACTCTTAGCTCTTACTTATGAATAAGTTTCTTCAAATCTCATTAGGTAACATGCTTGACATGCTTCAATTAGAGCAAAACAATCATTGTTATGCCTTGATGGCTCCATATGCTGGAATATATTGTGGGGTGAATATACCTTCTCTCCTTTTGGTCCCGGCATTCCCTAGCAAAAGAAAGAAAGATTCAAAACGACAGATTAAAAATTGTTCTTAACGCAGGCTATTTCCATTGCAAACCACAAGTCACACCTCTTACACCTTCAGAAATGACTGGCAGATGTTTTAGTGGTTGAATCTGAGTGTTTGAATGAATGATTGAGTAAATGAAAACCAGTATATCACAAACTATGAAAAGAAAGATATAGAAAAGTAAAGATAAAACAATGTTATGACATTCCATTCCTGATGACAGCAAAGATTCCTGCATATAATTTTGAACAAGAGCTCTTGTTTCATGAGTGGACAGCTGGTTTGAGGGAACGGATGATATTATTCTGGTTTTATTCTGCTCAGTGGTCCGTGTAGGAAACTTCGCTGAAGACCGCAAAAACAACAAGACACATTCTGATTATCACAGTTCCATCGTGCTCCGTGGTGTAGTGTTCACTGCAGTTCTTCAAACGCTGTAATTTTGTGTGCTGTTTCATAACTGTGAGCTTCATCATAGAAAGCAGTGCAGTGGTGTTGTGGTATTTTTCAAAATATTGTAGCGTTTCGCTACTAATGAACCAGGCGTTCTCAGTCGCTCTGTAACTTTATTAAAGCACTGAAGGAGGGTTACTGTTATGGCCGTAACCCACGCCGTACACCGAAGAAAACAGAAGAACAACAAGGAAGAATAGCACTCGCTGCATGCTCTGTGCTCTCACTCTCCCAACTAACTCTGAACTCCCTCTAGCCCGTCCTCCCGCCGCGCCGGACTATCCCCGCCCCTTAAAGTGAACAAAGACTAACAGCTATAACCAGTTATTGCTAAAATGAACATTGCTTAACATCATGACATTAACAAATGTCCTTCAACATTTATACCAACATCACAATATGTTAAACATGAGAGTCTTGTCCCAAGTGCTGTTAATGTTGACTTGAGATCAAAACATGGATTTGTGTGTAGTTACAAAAAGGTACAGCAAGAATTTTGGAAGAGTTTTTGCCACTGTTTATATTTTTTAATGGATTGGGGATTTAATAGATTAGAGGGTGTTATTGTTGGACCCAACAATGACGGCAGTGGACAAATCACTTGATTGTATCCTCTGATGCTTTGATTGTGATGGAGAAGCTACATAAGATGATACTCATTCCAACACACAGATGGAGAACATTTACATAAGGTTGAGATGTGCATCTCTCTTGTTATGTAAAGTCATTTATGCGGATCTTTTTCTTCATGTATGTCCAGTCAAAAACACACCCCTCTTTCTTTAATCTTCAATGGTCCTTCAAGTAAACACTCAAATTAAATGCCCTTCCACTTTTAGCAAGAAAATATCCATTCTCTTGAGTGTGATTTTAAACCGGTGACTCTAAACTTTGACGTAATTGGCAAAAACTGTTGGTGACCCACTGATGTGCTTCACCAGACTTGTGTGCAGTTCTGAGTAATTAATTGCGCCAATGTTTACCCTTCGAATGGGTTTTAAAAGAGGCATCAACCACTTCATTTCTCACACACAGTGTCACTGAGGCCCTGCAGGCCTCCCCCATGTAAACACATATACAGGTATAAGACCATTTTTACTTAATTTAGGAAGTAAGGTGCAGAATTGGGTTCTAAGTAACTGCTAGTAAACTCTGTACTTAAAGAAAAAAAAATAAAAATAAATATTTACCCAAACATTTCAATTCTCTCATCATATACTTATCTTCATGTTACAACAGTGTTTTAGTGCCACGTAAATAAAAAAAAAACAAGATTACGAGAATAAAGTCTTAATATTTTGAGAATAAAGTTAAAACTATGAGAATAAAGTCATAACAATACAAGAATAAAATCGAAACATTTCGAGAATAAAGTCAATTTCGAGAATAAATTCAAAATTACGAGAATTAAGTTGCATCAATTACAAGATTAAAGCTATAATATTTTGAGAGTATAGCCTATATTGCACATACAAATGGCCCGGATTGGGAGCACTGGGAGAAATTCCTGGCAACTGATTTGAATATATGTAGGATTATAGAAATCATTAGGGCTAGGTTTTGACACAAATTTCACGATTCGATTCGATTCTCATTCACAAACTTGCGATTCGATTCGATTACCGATTCGATTCGATTCGATTCAATATCGATTATTTTGGATATATATCAGGTACAGTACATGCCAAATTTTCTCAAGGGAAAAAAAATCTCTCAACTAATGCTGTAAAATATACATGAGAGTCAGTTGGTACTACATTACTATAATATTGAAGGTTAAAATTGACTGATTTGTTAAAATTACACTTAAAGTTTTTTTTTTAATAATAAAGTTACAATTACATAATAATATTTCTACTTCAATTCGTTTTTTTAAATATAAACATAATGGTGGCTGTCATAAAAACTTGATGGATTTATAAAAAAAATAAATTAAACATTGAT